AGCTTCTGATAGAAAATAGTCTCCTACACCTATCTCCTGCATTAGCTGCTGATAGAAAATAGTCTCCTACACCTATCTCCTACATTAGCTTCTGATAGAAAATAGTCTCCTACACCTATCTCCTGCATTAGCTGCTGATAGAAAATAGTCTCCTACACCTATCTCCTGCATTAGCTGCTGATAGAAAATAGTCTCCTACACCTATCTCCTGCATTAGCTTCTGATAGAAAATAGTCTCCTACACCTATCTCCTGCATTAGCTTCTGATAGAAAATAGTCTCCTACACCTATCTCCTGCATTAGCTTCTGATAGAATATAGTCTCCTACACCTATCTCCTGCATTAGCTTCTGATAGAAAATAGTCTCCTACACCTATCTCCTGCATTAGCTTCTGATAGAATATAGTCTCCTACACCTATCTCCTGCATTAGCTTCTGATAGAATATAGTCTCCTACACTTATCTCCTACATTAGCTTCTGATAGAAAATAGTCTCCTACACCTATCTCCTGCATTAGCTTCTGATAGAAAATAGTCTCCTACACCTATCTCCTGCATTAGCTGCTGATAGAATATAGTCTCCTACACTTATCTCCTGCTTTAGCTGCTAATAGAAAACAGTCTCCTACACCTATCTCCTGCATTAGCTTCTGATAGAAAATAGTCTCCTACACCTATCTCCTGCATTAGCTGCTGATAGAATATAGTCTCCTACACTTATCTCCTGCTTTAGCTGCTAATAGAAAACAGTCTCCTACACCTATCTCCTGCATTAGCTTCTGATAGAAAACAGTCTCCTACACCTATCTCCTGCATTAGCTTCTGATAGAAAACAGTCTCCTACACCTATCTCCTGCATTAGCTGCTGATAGAAAACAGACGGTGAAACTCTAGGATTAGAGAATCCTGACAGATCTACGTCACACTGTCACTAACATTCATGGACTCACCCATCTGACTCACGACGGGGAAGGCTGTTGTTGGTTTAGCGTCCAGGAACTAGCAGAGAATGTCTGTTAGTAGAAGCTAGCCGCTAGCATTAGCAACAAACATTTTCTTCACCCCCTATCGCCTGCTTTAGCTGCAGGAATGTTGTAGACGGGTCAGGTTGGGTCAGCAAAAGCCACACAGATCACGTCACACTGAAAATTAGCCTTCATGGACCCACCCATCTTTGCTTGCAACGGGGAGGCATTCATTTAGCACGCAGGAGAGAGCAGAGCGCGTCTCCGCTAGTAGAAGTTAATCATTAGCAGTAGCAGCTCAACCACACAGGCTTGTGTTATCTATGCAGATAAAACATCAACATTGCAAAGCAAATTGAGTTAGTGGTGGAGTCGTGTTGCCGTTAGCCAATCAGAGGAGAGACATCTCGATATCAGGAAATAAGACTCTAAATCCTGCCTTGTTCAGCTCCCTTCTGCTCTGGCTCACTTCTACTTCCTGAAACAGGAGCACCAGAGCTTTATTTTTTCACAGAGTTCGACTCTCAGTGCATTTGTTTCTCCTAGAGACCACTGCAGATGTGCTGAAAACCTAGTGAGCTTGGTCTTTTAACCTTGTCCTATACAGAATAATAACTTACCTGTTGAGCTATAATGTAATAGAGCTACTTTTGAACGGTTTCAACTAGGGCTGCAACAACGAATCGATAAATTCGATGAAAATCGATTACTAAAAGCGTTGGCAACGAATTGCGTCATCGATTCGTTGTGTCGCACAACTCTTCCAAAAGCGCCCCCCCCCCTTCCCGCCCGCCGTTGCGCGCAGACAGATCAGCGCGAAGGAGAGCCGGCAGGTGTTTGGAAGAGGAACATGGCAGAAGCAGCGAGAGTCAAAAAAGTAAAAACTTTTTAAGTTTGGGAGCATTTTCAGTTAAATCAGGCGAAGACATTCGTTACCTGCAACGTTTAGGTCAGACTTAGCATGGCACGGGATGATGCAGCGTCTTAAACGCAAGCTTGTCGGGATCATCAGCGAGGAAGGAGAGAACTCTGTGTCCGGGGAAATTAAAAACTTTTCAAAAGTGATTCATCCAAGTCCCGGATTATTACACAGGCTAGACATGCCCTGAGCTCGTAAAAAAAGAGTCTAAAGTCGTGAGCGCGACGCTTATTAGATGAGCGGGGGGGGGGGGGGGGGGGGGGGGGGACTCGCGCTGCTGTGAACCGGTTCCGCCCAAGGCCGGATTAACTGGGCAATTGCCCAGGGCCCACAAACTCTAATGGGCCCAGGGCACGAGCACAATACTGTATCTATAATTTCCCGCTTTATGAGGACTATGGTGACCGTACGTTCCGTTTTCCCCAGACGTGTCCACTTTTCACTCTGTCCGGCGCGTCGGGACTGCGGGTTCTTGTATTGATGAAAATGTCCGGCTTTTCATCCAGGAGCAGGGATCGAATTATGGGGGAAATGGATATCCTACACATCCAGGGAGCCGGAAAAAAGTTTTCTATATTATATCATTTTTGGACTCTTTTGAGCAGAGAGCGGCACAGCGCATTGTTGTGCAGCGATCCAGGCAGCTGCTTCCAGCGCACGGTCCATTCTCAAAGTGGCGCAACCAAAAAACTATAATTAGCACACAATCGTTCATGTCTGCACATGTTGTCTATTTTCTGTCTTATTTGTGCCTGAAGCTCGCTACTGCGGAGCTCATCACCTGTGCTGTGGTGATGTCACCTCACGCAGCATCGAGAACGCGCTCTGCGCTTTGCAGTCAGGAGATCCCTTTGATCTGCTCAGAAGTAACTGATGAGGTGAAAAAGTAAGAATCCAGGCAGCAGTTTTTCTGGAGAATTAAGAGGAGATGCAGGAAGATGAGAGACAGACAGGACAGGAAAATAGTTAAATAAAAACAAGAAAACAAAACAAAGTGTTGAAAAGTAAAATGTAGGTAGATTTATCTCCACTACACGTTTTTACCTATAAAACAATAAGTTACACACATGTAATATTTATACATTTGATACTATTCAGATCACCTTCAACACTCAGTCACACACCCAGGGCCGTTTCAAGACATTTTGGGGGCCAAGGCAAAATGCATATAACTGGGCTCCCCAGAAGCCTCTGTGTAATTCATACCCTCTCCAGTAGTGTTAGTTATACAGTGTTTATAAAAGCCCCTCAGACATTACTGACATGTTCTAATATTATCAGATGAAGAACTAAATTATCAGACATGCTGTCTCATCTGCTGCTTTTCTAAACTTGCAAAAAGTAACAAAACCATTTGAAAGCCACTATTTGTGGATTCTCTGAAAGTTTCCATGGAGTGTGTGACAACTTATTTTTTCAGTCATTTTTGGAAATAGTGATCAATTTTGATTAATTCACAGCCTATGTTTAATTACATTTAAAAATTAGTTGTTTGACATCCCCAGTTATAATAAATGTCTACAGATGAGATCAAACAAAACAGATGAGAATTGCCCTAAAGCTGTTTAACTTGGACCAAGCATTTTAGGTCACAGATAGATGTAGCTTAGGGTCTCTGTCTATACACCTTATAAGACAATTTAGGTGATGGCATGTTGTTTTTCTGCTATTGAACTGTTTTCTAATAATGTTGTGTTAAATAAAGTGAAGGAAGGAGAGAAATAACATTTCCCTAGCAGTTTTTAAAAATTTCCCCATGTGATCCGATTAATCGATTAATCGTGTCGAGACCCCATCCGATTAATCGATTATCCAAATAATCGTTTGTTGCAGCCCTAGTTTCAACATTTTATAATGAGATTCTATTGAAAGGTAATGAACAACCTCAGTTTGGAGAAACAACGTCATCTGGCTCGTTTTACAGCTGATGCAAAAACCTGCTGGGGTTATTTAATCGGCTCGCTCGCTGAATTCCTGCTGGAACAGAAAGAACAGCTTCTGCTCTTTTTTGTGCTTCTAAACACTACAAGTTGGTTAAATTCCTGGATGATAAAAAGCTGACGGCAGTTCCATAAAATGGGAGGAAATAAAAAAAAAACGGGGTTGATCTAACACAGAAGCAATCCACTTTAGTCTAGCTGTATTCGGACTAGCAGTTAGCTCATCAGTCCTGTTGGAACTTAACTCATTTTCTCCTAACTGAGGTTGTTCACTAAGCTATTTATAGCATGTAAGATATTAATAGTTCCCAACCTTTCCATCCTTTTGTTATCTGCGCCACTTCATCCTCAGCGAGGTTGTGGCTAGCTGGTGTCTAACTCCGGCCGTCACCAGGTGGGTGGCAGCGGACATCTTGGACAGGTCACCAGTCACACTCACTCACACCTAGTTAACACCAGTTAACCAGACATGCAGGTTTTTGGTCTGTGGGAGGAAACCCATTCAGGCATGCAGAGATCATGCTAACTCCATACAGACAGGTGGGTTTTAAACCTGCAACCTTCATGTTGTGAGAACAGAACTGAATTTCAGATTGTCTAAAATATAACTGTAAGGGTTTTCAAAACTGCCTTTGTGCTTAAATATTGTCCAGATTTACTCTACATCAGTCGTTAATGTGCTGAGCAGTTACACTCTCCTCAAGGACATCTGTGTTCTGAGTCAGTATTTCAGACCATGTTCCCGAGAACCTGAACGTCTCCGCTCAGCCTCAGCATCAGAGCTCCTACCTCGGGTTTGGGTGTGCACGCTGTGAGATGTATCGCACTGATAAGTGATTAGCGTCTGCTGCTGTTCCTTTCACCAGAGTGTCTCATCGCTGCCTCTTCTTCTTCCTCAGGCTGTCAGCTGCAGTTCATCAGGCTAATTCCCTTCCTAATTAAGCCGGGTGCCATTTAAAGCTGCAGACTGAAATCCAGTGGAGATTTTTATGTACATTTAACCAGCATGTTTGATCTGAAGAGTCTAAATCAGCTGAAGACCACAGAAGGAAATACTATTACATTTATTTTTGCTGACATTTCAAATGTAAACACGGACTGACTTTGCTTCTGTCACAGCTGGGCTTCGATGATGAGATATAAAACCATGATCACACGTTTTTCTGTTCACCCCAGACTGCCGTGTCCAAGTATGGGTCACAATTCCGAGGTAATTCTCAGCATGATGCCCTGGAATTCCTTTTGTGGCTGTTGGATCGTGTCCATGAAGACATCATCCTGGCGTCTCACAATAACAACAAGACCACAGCTCCTGGAAAG